TGAAAGATCACTTGCCTAGCAGGTGTGAGGCACTGGACTGGATCCTCAGCACCACAGAAAAATAAAATAAAATAAAGGTATGCTGTCCATCTACAACTACAAAAAAATTTAAAAAAATATTACTGAATATGAAATGGTTTTGTTCAATTAAGTTTATTCCCCTCTTATGTTTTTTCTTTCTCTTTTCTTTCCAGTGCTGGAAATTTTATATTTTTAAAATTTTGAAGCCTAATGCACTGCACACCTATAATCCCAACAGCTTGGGAGGCTGAGATAAGAGGATCACAAGCTCAAGGACAGCCTTAGCAATTTAGCAAGGCCCTAAGCAATTTAGTGAGACCATGTCTCAAAATAAAAAACAAAAAGGGCTGGGGGTATAGTTCAGTGGTAAATTGTATCTGGGGTCATTCTGCACTACCAAAACTAAATAAATTTGGAGATAGGATCTCGCTAAATTGGCCAGGTTGGCCTCAAACTTTTAATCCTCCTGCCTCAGCCTCCCAAGTAGCTGGGATTACAGGTGTGTCTCATCATGTCTGGCTCAAATGTTTTCAAAGTCTGGGTTTTGTCTGAACAGATATATGGGGTTGGAGATTAAGGTCTAGCATAATGTATGTATTCAATAAATATTTGGTCCAAGCCATAAGAGAAAGGGACATCAGGGGCAATATTAAGTTAACCAGAGTCACAACTTCTAATTTCCCAGCATGACTTACAGGTTTTACCATTACAAAGACCCACGGTTCTAGGTAGAGTAACAGACTCATCCTAGTCCTAAATGACTCCATTTTGATTTTTTATCCTAGTCTGCTGGCATCTACTACAGGGCCTAACCTCAAAACAATGGCTTCCTGGAAGTTCTACTTAATACTTTATCCACTTTGATTCTCACTGTAGAGATAGAGGCTCTAAAGAAACATTAAACAACCTGGAATTTAGGCTGAGATCACAAACTGTGATTCAATTCTATTAACAAAATTCACCCAGTAAACAAATATTTACTAAGCATCTCCTATTTATTTATCTATCTACCACTGTTTTAGATGCCTGGGAAACTTCAATAAACATGGCTTTATTAAGAAGCAAAGGCTCCAGTAGCTTGAAAGGCTGAAGCAGGAGCACTGAGAGTTCAAAGTCAGCCTCAGCAACAGCGAGGTCCTAGGCAACTCAGTGAGACCCTGTCTCTAAATGAAATACAAAACACAAGCCTGGGGATGTGGCTCAGTGGCCAAGTGCCCCTGAGTTCAGTCCCAGGTACCAAAAAAAAGGGAAAAGACTAACAAAAGACTTATAAATAGTATAAGAAAATAAGACTGATTTTGCCTTAGGTCTTCCTACTTGCTTCTCAGATAAAATATAGGTTCAGATCAGTTTGGATTAATAACACACATTCCTCCAGATTCTTTTCAGCAATTATGCTGTAAACTGGTTGGAATTTGTACATGTGCAATAAATCTTTGCTGCTGAACAAACTGTGTAAGTGCACACAAGGTCTGCTCTAGTACCTGGAATGGGACACAAATGTTTTGTTGGGTATATGCTACTTTTTCAGTAACTGCTGTGGTTGGCTAGATTTGGGAAAATGCTGAATATGAGCCTTGCAGTTGATGGTGGATCTCGAGAGATGTTTTCACTAATCTTGTTTTGACATAAAAATGCAAATTCATAAACATTTTTTATTTAGTTTTTTTTTTTTTGTACTGAGGGTTGAACTCAGGGCCTCACACTTAAATGTTCAGTTTCAGATTTATCACTAAGCTACATCCCCAGGCCCTTGGCCTTAAATCTCTGGTACCTAATAATCCTTGGGAGGAAAGAATTTTATAACCTAATGCCTTGATTTTTTTCTATTCACTGAAGCAAGGTCTAAATGGTCACAATAATCTGGTTTATTTGCTTAATGTAGTCTGTTAAGTAAAAAATACAGGAGGTTATTGTTTTGGACTTAGCTCCTGTACTTAGTAGGCTAAAAGTCAAAATGTAGTCACTCATGCTCCTTATAAAAAAATAGTAATCTGTTAATCAATTTTCTCCTCCTGCTTCCTTCTCTACTGGGGATTGAACTGACAGGCATTCTACCACCGAGCTACATCTCCAGTTCTTTTTGAGATAGGGTCTTCCTAAATTGCCAAGCTTGGTCTCAAACTTGTTGTGATCCTCCTGCCTCAGCCTCCCTAGAGTAGCTGAGACTACAGGGGAACATCACCGTATCAGCTCTTACCAGTTACTTTCCCATGGATCCAGCTCATTTCCTTTACATGAAAAGGTGAAACTTCTTGACTTAATAAGGATTAAAAAAAAAAGTTTGAAGTTTCTAAGATTCACAATAAGAACGAATCTTCTATAGTGAATTGATGAAAAAGAAATGTTTTGCTTTTGCACCTCAACCCACTACAGTTATGGCCACATAACTGTAAAAGCCTATTTAAGAGGGAGAAGGCATTAAATTTGTGATTAGGTACTATCTGTAGTTTCAGGCATCTACTGGGGTCTTGTTAAGTTATTTGCTGAGGATATTGGAACACTGGCCATCTATCACACCACACCATCAAAGAGCTTGCATCAAAAACCACCACTTCCCCAGGTGTGGTATCACACGCCTATAATCCCACTGACTGAGGCTGAGGCAGGAGGATCAAAGGTTTGAGGCCAGCCTCATCAATATAATGAGGCCCTAAGGAACTTAGTGAGACCCTCAAAATAAAAAAGAAAAAAGGCTGGGGACATGGCTTAGTATTAGATGCCCCTGAGTTCAATCCCAGAAAACAAAACACACCAAACTCATGGCTTCTATTCTGTGTTTACCTCATTCTACATCTCATCACCATAGCCAACTCCCCTTCCTGTTAATCTGTTTATCTATTTTCTTCCTTAGATACACCCTTACCTCACTGACTATTTTTGTTGGAATCCCCTCTGCCCAAACTGTAAATCTGCACTATTCACTGGGGAGCCTACTAGTCAGTCAGGTTTACTACACAGCACTTGAAATATGGTTAGTCTGTGAATGTGCTGTAAAATAGACAATGGACTTAAAATTTTTTTTTTGTGGAGGGGAGCACATGCTGAAAAAATACTACTTTCGATATGTTGGATAAAAAAATAATTTCATTTTACTTTTTAATGTGGCTCCTACAAAATTTAAGCCTATATATGTAGGCTCAAATTATACTTCTATTGGATAGTGCCGCTTTAAATGTTGGCACCCTAGGGTTTGGCCTTGCTTCTCCTGAGCCTTACCATCACAGTAAACAAACAGTATGATCATCCATCAGTGGCTCATATTAGGGCCATAACAAGACAGACAGTAGTATTTTTGGACAAGTATGTTCAGGGTTTCCAGATGAAAGAATTATTGATGGTGCAAACAACCAAGGGAAGACCAATTCAGGTTTTAAGACTGCATGGTATTTAAGCCATAGACTTTAGACTGCTTTGAGTAATTCAACTTTGTCAATCATCTTTTTAGTGTGCAAAGGAGTTCAAGAAACCTGATTTTTTTTTCCCTTTTTAAAAACCAGTTGGTAATGGGATCGTGCAAACCCTAAAATTCTAGTCAACTCCTGATGGTTTGAGAATATGGCACTAACTGTTACTCTATAAGGCCTAATCTAACAAATATGCTACTTCAGATCAAAAATCGTTGGAAATTGTGCCAATTACATCAATTTAACAGACACTGAAATTTGGCACCTGGAAGTAACTTAGCCAACAAAATCTCACTTGTTAAATAAGAAAACTGAAGTAGAAAAAGCTTATTTGATTTCATCCAGATTTTACACAGACAGGATTTTAGAAAATGATATATGTAAATCAAGCTTTGATATGTAAATTTAAAACTCATAAAACTACTAACCATTCTATAAGCACTCCTTTCAAGACGTTGACCATCTTTTTTCCAGTCAGAAGGTGCAGATGACCTCAATAATCCTAATAGAAAGAAAGTAACACGAAATTCAAAAGCATCAACTTGAGTATACTTTGGGGATCTGCGTCTGAAATAAGACAAAATATGAAGTGTCCATCAAATTGTGCTAACATTAAAACACACAGACATTCTGACCATTTAACAAAACTAAAATTGTATACCTGAAATGCACAAATACTATAAGCAAACAACTTCTACCAGCAGCCAATTAAGGAAACTCCCCTTTGGCATGCCCATCCCAGGTGTAAAGCAGGTCCATTACGTAAACCTTTCTCATTCAGGAGAAGGATAAAAGGTCAACTCCCTGAGGAATTTCACAACGGTAGAGATGAAAGGGCCCTTAAAATTCACACAGTGATTCGGCCTAGGGATGCAGCTGAGTGGCAGAGCGCTTGCCTCATATGCACCAATTGGGTTCAGTCCCCAGTACTGGGAGGAGGAAAAAAAAAATTACGTAGTGATTCAACAATCTCATTTTAAAGATGAGATCAAATGAGATTAGGTTAGTTCCCGGCCCCGCTTCAAAGAAACAGTAAAGCCAGGGCTCCAGATCGTGGGCTCCTTTGCTAAACCACCCAGTCTCTCCATGATCTGCGCTCGAAGGAAACTGCCCATGGTACCCCCAAATTAACCCTCCGGCCCGAACGCCTGGGCGCAGGGCGACACCCCAGAAGGAATCCACGAGGAGACAGCGCGGGACAGCTGCCCGGCACGCCACGAAGGGCTCGAGGAAATGCGGGACAGCACCCTGACCCCAGCGCCCGGAGGACAGGTGCCGGGCCTCTCCTTCCTCTCCGGTCTTTATTCCGAACCCCGCGGTCTTCCACGCACCGCACTCTCCCCGGCAGCTCAGAGGATCGCCACGCACCTCCGCCCACAGACCCAGCAGAGCCTCGGCGTCGCCCACACCGTGCTCCGTCGCCTCTACGTCATCGCGCCAGGCACGCTCTTGTGGGCGGAGCGCGCCGGCGAGAGGCGGGGCGAGCTGGGCCAATGGGCGGGGCATGCAGGGGCGGGGTCACGTGCCGGCTGCCCCGAGATCTCCGGCTGGCAGCCGCAGAGAAGGGTGGCAGCTCCCGCTGGCGGGTTCCGAGGGAGCGGTTGGGGGCAGGCCGAGTCCGCGTGCTGGCAGGTAGGAAGAAGAGGCGGGCTCGTGGGTTGGGCGGGGGCGTCGGTGAAGCCGGGCGCGTAGGGGAGTGGGGAGCTGTAGCCCGACACGGCCGGGGCGCCCCCGTGAGGGCGCGCGGCCCCGGCGCGACCTGCGGATCCGCCGCGGGCGTGAGGGTCTCTCTGGTCCTCTGAAGCCTGGCTTGCGTTTCTGGTTCGCTGTGGCGCTTCTCTGGTTGCTTGCGAGGCCAGGGGAGCGTACCTCCTGGTGCACCATCCAGGTTCTGTTGACAAGATGATGACCAGAAGGAGGCAGCCCATCGGACACTCCTGAACCTGCCGGATCCCACCTTCTAGCTCCCTGACCCTGGAGACTGGAGAGACTGGATACCGATTTAGTCTCGAAAACCTGTAACGGTCATTTTAAAGCGAAAGACCACAGAAGGTTCTAAAGTTAATTCCTTTCCGAAATTCTGATGTGGTCTTAATGGAGCTCTCCATTTTTCCAAGTTGCCATAGGTTCTTGCTTTCTGTGCATTGGGTTTTATTGTACTTCCACAATTAAGCTTGTGTAGCTTTTTGCTTCGTGTGTTCTTGTGATCTCTTATGGACCCTTGCTTTCCTACTTATTTCCCTCTTCCCTTATCTCAAATCTTTTCTTTCCATTGGTTCCTATGTCCTTCAGCTCCTTTTAAAATTTGCCTCGTTTAGTTTTTCCCAAGCCTCTTTTCCTTGCTTTTTTTTCCTGCCGACCTTCCCTCCTTGAGAATCAGCCCTCCATTTCGTGAGTTCCTTTACCTTGAACTGCCATTCTTGAGCTCCAGGTGTTGGACGGATGCCTGCACCTTAATGACTTGTGTGTAATCTGAACGCCACCTTTCAAATTGAAACCATTTTCATCACTGTCTTTCATTCTTCAAAACCTGCTTTTCTTCCAAGCATCCAGATTTAAAACCTGCATCCATATTTACTCAAAAACAATCTCTGGGTGCAGTGGTAAACAAGTAACTAATTTTAGTGGGGGCACAGAGACACACCAGGTAACAAGAAGATACCAGATGGTGATATGATAGTGACTGAAAGGGTTACATTGGTTAAAAGAAATAGCCTTCAGTTAATATTTCTGAGTAAAACAAAAACAAAAAATATTTCTGGTGAATTGTTTCTAATATATAATAATATATATTAGAAACAATTCACCAGAAATTTTAATGATAAAGAGGTACTATTCACAATGGCATTCAAAACTGCAAGTGTCTAGAAATAGATCAACTAAAGCTGTCTGGTCCTTTAGGTAGAAAATTGTAATGCTTAATTGAAACACATAAAAGTACACCAAATAGCTGAACAGATAGATGTACAATATTCATGGATGGGAACACTCAATGTCAAAAAGATAATAGGTTTCTCCAATTCTATACATTCTGTGCAGTGCCAGTGAAAATCACTGTGTACTTTTCATAGAATTTGATATCCTAAACCTATAATTTATGTGGAAAGTCAAAGTACCAAGAATAGCTAAGTCAGTTTCAAAGAAGAAAATTAAATATGGTCCCTCTCTACTAGATATCAAAGTTTAATATAAACTTGTAATAATTAAGACAGTATGATGTTGGTTCAGGGATAAAGGAAATTCATGGAACAAGATACTGCATCTATAAACACACCCATATACATATGGGAGCTTAGTACACTACTAAGTTATATCACAAAGTAAGGGGAAAACTGTTCAATAAATGATGCAAAGATACATTAAATCCATTTTGAATAAAGACAGAGTTCTTGCTTCATACCATTTACAACAGTAATTTCTAGATGTATTAAAGAACTTAATCTGAAATACACATTTTTAAGATATTTAGGAAAAAGTATGAGACTATGTTGTCTCTGGGAAAGATTTTTTTGTTTGCTTTATTGTGGTACTACATATAAGATTTTTACCATTTTTAGATGTGTGGTTCAGCGATTTAAAAAAAAGTTGTAGATGGATGGCATGCCTTTATTTAGTTTATTTTTTAATGTGGTGAGGCTTGAACCCAGTGCCTCACACATGCTAGGCAAGTGTTTTGCCACTGAGCTACAGCCCCAGCCCTCAGTGATGTTTTTATGTAGCTAGCCCTACTGTTTGCCTTCAGAACGTTTTCATCTGCCAGGAAGGATTTCTTAAGTTATAAAAAGCACCATTAGGGCTGGGATTGTGGCTCAGCAGTAGAGCACTTGTCTAGCACATGTGAGGCCCTGGGTTCGATCCTCAGCACCACATTTAAAAAAAAAAATCACTGAGCCACAACCCCAGACAACAATTTACTATTAGTAAGAATGGAGGGCTGAAATAATGTTTAATTTCATTCCATTTTCACTCCAACCAGGGCAATGAAGCTATCTTTGTGAAGGCTCCAGTGACCTTGCTGTGATTAAATTTAATGGAATTTTTGAATATTTGTTTCATTTTGTTCTCATAGTATCTCCCTTTTTAGTTGTTCTTAATCTCTTCAGAATTACTGCTTTGTTCTCTACTTAAAATAATTGTTTCAGGTTTAATGTAGCTATAGTTTTAATCCTAAAAGATTTTTAAAATAGAAATTGACAAAACTGACTCTAAAATTATGTTGGCAGTGCCAAGGACCTTGAATAGTCCATCTTGAACAGGAATAACAAAGATGGAAAACTTACATTACTTAGCTCAACACTTACTGTAAAAATATAATAATCAAGACTGTGGTATTTAAGGACAGACAGCTAGATCAGTGGGATATAATAAAGAATCCAGAAATAGGTATACAATATATGATCAATTGATTTTTGAGCAAGGTACAAAATCACTTCAATGGTGAAAAGAAAATTGTCTAAGCAAATTTTATTGGCACTTTCAAATAGCCATATAAAAATAATTCAACCTCAACTCCTGCTTACTCAATACAAAAAAAAATTAACTTGAAATGGGCCATAGACCTAAATGTAAAAGCTAAAACAATTTTTTAATAAAATGAGACTATGACATGAAGTGGGCAACAATTTCTCAAGACACAGAGGGCAATAATCATAAAACAATTGGTGAGACTGTTAATATTAAAACTCCTTTTCATCAAAAGGTATCTTTATGAAAATGAGGGCTGGGGTTGTGGCTCACTGGTAGAGTGCTTGCTTATCATGTGTGATGCACTGGGTTTGATCCCTAGCACCACATAAAAAATAAAGGCATTGGGGCTGGGGTTGTGGCTCAGCAGTAGAACGCTTGCCTAGCATGTGCGAGGCGCTGGGCTCAATCCTCAGCACCACATAAAAAGTAAATAAACAAAATAAAGGTATTGTGTCCAACTACAACTAAAAAATAAAAAAGTTTTAAAAAAGAAAGGAATAAACAAATCACAGTTGGAGGAGTTAGTTGTAGTGTGTATGTATATGTGTGTGTGTGTGTATATATATATACACACACACACATATGTATATTTGATTAAGGATTTGTTTCTAGAATGTATAAAATACTGATAATTCATCCTTAAAATTTTTTTAAATGAACAAACACTTGGACAGTTCACAAAAAATATGTAAATGGCTAGCAAATATGAAAAAGTGCTCAACATACTTTTGGGGGAATTTCAAACCAAAATTATGAAAAAATACTATAATGCACACACAGAAAAGGCTAAAATCAAACAGGCTGACAGCATTGTCAAGGATGTGGAACGATTGGAACCCTCACACTCCTGCTTTGTTGGTTGCAATGTAAAATGGTACAGTCACGTTGGAAAAAACTGTCAGTGTCTTACAGAGTTAAACATATAACTTCCCTTCCCCAGCAGTTCCACTCCTGGATACTTACCCAAGAGATGTGAATACTCATGTCTGCAAAAAAAGACTTGTATCAGAATACTTATAGCAGTTTATGGTAGGCAGAATACTGACCCCCTCAAAGATGTCCATTCACCAGGCATGATGGCACACTCCTGTAATCCCAGTGGCTTGGGAGGCTGAGACAACAGGATCACAAGTACAAAACCAGCCTCAGCAACAGCAAGGTGCTGAGTAACTCAGAGATACCCTGGCTCTAAATAAAATATAAAATAGGGCTGGGGCTGAGTGGTTGAGTGTCCCTAAATTCAACCCCTGGTATCCAAAAAAAAAAAAAAGGTATCCATACCTTAATCCCTGGAATCCCCTGGTTATATAATGTTATATGGCAAAAAGGACTTTCCAGATGGAATGAAGTTTACAGACCTTAAATTGGGAGATTACTTTATATGATCTGGAGTAGTCTGGTGTAATTACATAGTCCCTGAAAGTTAAAGAAGAAAGCAGAAGAGACAGGTGTGGCATTATAAGAAGGACAAGCTGTTGTCAATTCGGAGATATAGGGGGCTACCTGCAAAGACCAGTCAGAGGGCTTTGGGAGCTAAGAGTGGTCCCCAGATAACAACCAGCAAGTTAATAAGAACCTCCTTGTTAAAGCTGAATGAACTGAGTTCTGCCAATCACTAGGGAACTGAAATCTGCTTATATCCTGAATGAGTCTGGTAGTGGATTCTCCCCCAGAGCTTTCAGTAAGTGGAAGCAGCCCTGTTAAAACCATGGTTTTAGTTTCATGGAACTTGGAACAGAAAAATCAGATCTGGAGTAGGAACCTGCGTTTTATTAAGTACCTCTGCAGATAGTCCTTTGGACATTTTGAGTAACACTGTTTTATACACTAGTGTTTATTTAAGCAATCATTTGGCCTAATTCTCCTGAGAAGCTGCAGATGTGTGCTACCACTCAGAGCTCTCCACTATTCTTAATAAATTTACCCAAACCCCTGGCTTCAATTAGTAATGTATGCTGATGTCTCATACATTCATATCTATGGATTAGTCCTATGCTGAGCTTACACTGCTTATTGGACATTTTTTCCACTATTTCACAAAGAACCTTAATCTCAGCATGTTGAAACTGGAATCCTTTCTGCCAAAATCATTTCTAGCATTTCCCTATTTTGGTTAATATTATCCTGTATACTTAGTAATCCAGGCCAGAAACAGAACCATGTTT